TATGAAAGTAACTATTAATCTAGCATTTTCATTCAAAGAAATGTTCACAGGAACATTAGTTTCTGAATCCTGTCCTCTTTTTTCTGTCTCCATTAGCCATCAATAATCATAAATAATCTTAGTTGAAATAGGCCAGAGCTTGACTGGGTCGGTGCCTTTTCACTCTAGGACTAGAATAACAACATTCTATTCCCGGCAGGGGGCCGATCAACAGTGGCATCAATCAGTGTAATAGGAACGCGCCAGGCTTTGCCATTAATTGTGCGGCTGGGCATGCAGAAGCACAATTAGAGCAGTGGAAATTAGGCCATGTGTTTAGCAACTTGTAGGGGTCATGCTGGCACTCATATGTCATGTAGCCGGCTGGTAGGATGTTTAGAGTCAGTACGGGGTCTTTCTGCACTTCTTTGACAGTATGTTCAATATGTTTAGCATTATGCTTCTGGTAATGTATGGGTCATAGGATCTGAGTATACATTATGTTCTCCTACTGCCCACTCACTTCAAATCATTCCACTAGAAGCTTTTTTTTTTTGTTTGTTTTAGTACTATTTTTGTTGCTAGCATTTTTGCCTGTTTTATTAGGACGGAGAGAGATGAAGGGGACATGAAATGATGGGATATAAGGGCAGAACAGGCTCGGGACATTATTTAAGCTGGAATTTGCATCAGGGTTGTGTTGTGTGTCAGTTCCTCAATGTGAGCAATATTTGAAATAATTAAAAAAAAAATTTTTTTTATTATTATTATTATTTTTAATTTTAAATTTGTAGTTTTGAATTCTCATTTCTCATTTTTATTTGCAGTATTTTTTTTTTTTCAGTATAAATTACCACTAATTATACAACATTTTCCAGAAATATTATCTGAGTATGCATTTTTCATACTCACTTTTGGAAAGCATCAGCTGCAACTAGTATTTATTTATAAATGTTTTGAATTTAACCTTTTATTTTTATTATTAATATTTATTTTCTTATATTTTAGTTTTAGTATGTTTTTATTTATTTGGTATGTGCTTTTAACATTTGTATGATTATTTGTCTAGTATTGTTATTGATGACAATAATAATGTAAGTGCTTGGCAACATTTCTACTTTTCATTTAGGTTCGTTTTTTTTTTTTCATCTAATATTATTTATATGTTTTTTTTTTAGTTTTTTGTTGTTAATATTTAGAATTTTTATTTGCATATTTTATCATGTTTTTATTTTAATTGTAGTATTTCTTTATTTGGTGTGTGCTTTTGTCATTTTAATAGGGTTTGTTTTATAATTATTGCTATTTATGATTCATTTATTTTTTAGTTTAGGTTTAATTCAGTTTTAGTTCTTGTTTATTTCCAGATGGTCATTTTATTGTTTAAACTTGGCAGCTTTTCTAATTTTCATTTCATTTTTGTTCATCTAATATGTGTATTTTATTCCAGCTTTTGATTAACACATTTCTTGAATCGTTTTAGTTATAATTAGCAATAATAATCCTGTTAACTGCTAGCCCTTATTACTGTATGTTGCACATATATAGAAGTGAAGAGTCACTTTAGGAATGATACAATCTAATTAAACTGAACTGACTTGTCTGCTCTAGGTATTTGGGTTCTTATTGTACTTGAACCTCTTTGAACTCTGTGTATTTCTGGGTTAGATTCAGTGATTGGGGGCAATCTTCTCAGAAACAGTCTTTTCAGATCTCATCAAAAGCATCAGTCCTGTTATTGAGCATCTGTATGATGCCTCCTGTCAGTAAACAGCATGTGATGCTGACTGTCTTTGTTCTGTCTTAATGTAATGTTCAGTGACTTGTCAAGATGTACAATGCAATCTTCAGATGTTTTTTGACTCTTGTCTGTTCATTTAAAGATTTGAACAACTACATCAATGTTTCTGTAGAAATTAAGGATGACTACTCCACAGCACACACTTTTGACACTTTTGTATTTTGTCTTTTTTTAATGCACAGACAATTCAATTGTATTACAGAAATATATAGCTTGCACAATACAGAAAGATTCTTCGGACACCCTAGCTATTTGAGATAGACTTCTGGGGTCAACTGACCTTAGTTTGAGATCTGCCATCCTAACAGCTCTAGAAATCTCTGGAGATTGAAGGTATAGTCTGTTCTTTTCCATGGCTACTGACTAGAGCACATAGTGGAGCAGAAACGCCTACATTAATTCCCTCCGGACCTGAATGGACTCATCTCATCCATTAGGATTCCCTTGAGATCCACCTTGCAGCTTCAAGTCCAAATAATTCCATTTAGACACATTTTAATGTATGTTGTGTTTCAGGCACTGCTTGCTCCAGGTAACTACTGAACCTCGAACGATCTGTGCTTTTAACTTCTGCCAGTTGTCTTCTCTTGTTTCTGTCTGTTGTATGAGATTTTGAGCCATTATAATGTATAACAGAGATTTGGAAAGATAGTATTTTGATAAATATAATTTGTCTGATTTATTGTCTGAATGCATCTCAAAACGTACCATTGACTCTGATTTTGTGGTTCCAAAACAGATAATTGAGATACATTACAGTAGGATACAGCCTTAAATTATTATTATTATTATTATTATTATTATTAAAACCACTTATTCATTGATATATAATATTATTACATACTTAGTCAGGTGATGGCAAAGCTGAATTCTCAGCAACCATTACTCCAGTCTTCAGTGTCACATGATCCTTCAGAAATGATATATTTAAAAAAAATATTGAATATGCCTTTTAATCTTTTTGTGGATTCTGAGATAATTTTCAGAAAATTCAAAGAACGGTATTTATTTGAAAAAGAAATCCTTTGTCACTTTTGATCAATTCAGTATGTCCTTAGTGATTGAAAATATAACTTTCTTTCAAAAACAAACAAACTAAACTTTTAATGAAAGTCTATTAATAATTTTGCCAAATATTTGTATATATATTACACACATATATACTTACATATATACAGTGGGTACGGAAAGTATTCAGACCCCCTTAAATTTTTCACTCTTTGTTATATTCCCAGTTTAAAATAACTATTTATTTCTATTTTATTTATTTTTTTATATAATTTATATTTTTTAAATATAATTTATTCCTATGAAGCTGAATATTCAGCAGCCATTACTCCAGTCTTCAGATATATATATTTTTACTCTAATATAATTCTCTCTCATCTACTTTTTATTTTTGTAATTGTTATTTTTATTTTTATTTGTTTAGCTTAAAAATGTTTGAGGAAGTTTTGAGTTCTGAAAGTTACTATGTATTTTCAAACTACAATACAACTTTTTTTTTTTAAAGCAAAAGATCAAGAAAAATGTATTCCTTATGATGTGATCCCCTTCACTGTGTTTATATGCAATAAATATGGATTCTATTTTCCATATTATTAAAATGGCATATATGTCCATACAATGGTGTGTTCAATTACCTAGAAAAGCCCAACCATAATCGTGTTTTAACCCATGAAAACTGATTTCAAGACTCTGCTTTTTTGCTCAGTCCTTTGAAAAGCACAGCTGTATAATGAAATACAAATCATAATGACAAATCAGTTATATTCCGAGAAAAGTCTCTTAACTTAGATGAGAAAAATCTGGCTATAATTAAATGGTTACATGGCTTTAACTTAACAGAGCGAATGATTGCAGATTTTAATGGCTGCCTCTGTCTTTTTTTCTCTCTTTTTTTTTTTTCTCAGCTGTATAGTTCATTTGACTTTGGCCGAAAGTGGCAGCTGGTTCACGAGCGAGTGACTCCGAATCGCTTCTACTGGTAGGTGATGCGTTCACAATCACACCTCATCTCCATTTCTCACACGATGTCACTAACTTACAATTTTTTGGGCGAACAAGGAGAGTTTAGTCGAGTGATTGTTGACATTGACGTGTTCGTGATATGTGGAACGAGTTTGAGCAATTGAGAAGATGGATATGGTTGAAAGTTGTGTCCTTTTTTGCCGGCTCTTATGTTTAAAAAATGCAGAGGCTGTTGTTCATGTCGACGTGAGATGAAAACTGCAAAGATGTTTGAACTCTAAGACCTTTGTTGCACAGCTCCTCTCCATTCAGTATCAAGACAATAAAAGAAAGGGGGAGAATAAGCATGGCAGAGGAAGATGGAAAGAAAATTGCGGCATGAAGATGGCTGAGGAGAGTGAAAGAGAAAGGATTTGTACTCCACAGTGCATCTAGACTTTAAATTTTTTTTAGTTTTACACATAAAGAAATGGATAGAACCTTTAGAAAAAAAAATCTCTTTAAATGATGTACACCCACATGAGATAAAGACTCCAGTAAGGCTGTGCAACCGAATTGCGATTTTTCTGTGATTTTAAAATATGGGGGGAAGAAAACACTCAAGATTAGCTTTTTTTGTAGTCCTGGACAATTTGAACAAAAATGTGTGAAATAATAATAATAATAATAATATATAATATATACATATATATATAAATTGCTGTTGTAATATTTCAATGTTTAAAAAAATATATATATTTTAGACTTTAATTTATAATAGCATATATTACATGAAGTAGGTTGCCATATCTAACTAACCCCTCTTTATTGTCATTTATACAATGATGTCAGAAACATTACTTTTTTTTTTTATAAACATGTCTCAATGTAAGATTAAGATTTACATTATTTACATTTACATTATTTCTTACCAAAGTGTACAAATCACACAGGAAGTAGCTAAGATTATATGTAACTCAGTGCTAATCACTGAGGGATGTTTTAGACTGTTAGTGAGAAAGCAGAGGTTTTATCAGAAGTTTGTCTTCAGTGTGTGCATGAGTCACAGAGAACGGGTACACTGGTACAGCCTACTTGAGCTATAAAAGACACCGTCTAGTTAATGGTAGGGTTGTTTAAGGGCTGGTGCACCACACACTCATGTTTCCAACAGGTGTCATCATTCTCATTTCCATTGTACTCCTTCACTGTCACCATCATGCACAAATATACACCTACACATACATGGGTTTTAGACACGCTTCTGGTTGCTGCTGTAAATTGTACTTTGATTCTTTTCCCCATCATGTGGCATTTGAAGTGGCACCTCACAACTCTTTTTTTCACTTTGTTGGCTGAAATGGACCTCCAGTAAGACATCTGTTATGGATTTTTTTGTCTCCGTGATAAAACTGCTTTCTCCTCGCTCTGGTGTGTCTAATGCAGGTCAGTAACCGGTCTGGACAAGGAGTTAGATCTGGTGCACATGGAGGCCCACACTCCTGATGGCCGTGAGTTGCTTCTTTCTGTCTCTGTCTGTATTCTCCAACACTGTCTAGCAGCCTAGTGGTAGGAAATTTGATTAATAACAGTCACTCAAATCTTTTAATTAGGTATGCTAAAAAAGACATGTCACTGACCCCCAGGTCATGGACCCTGTTCTTTATATTTTATTTTATTTTATTTTATTTTATTTTATTTTATTTTATTTTATTTTATTTTATTTTATTTTATTATTTTATTTTTATTTTTTTATTCTTAAACATATTTAATTTAATTTTGCTTATTAATTAATTAATTGATTAATTAATTAATTAATTATTTTTTTTATATTATATGTGAGTATTGTATCATTTATCTATAATTCAAATTCATTAATCAAAAGGACAACAAATAAAACGTTATATTATATTATATTATATTAGCAAAAATAAATAATTCAAAACATTATATTTTTCCTAAATTTGGAGTATTATGAGTGAGTCATTTTATTATTCACTCAACAGATTAATTTGAAAAAATTCTGGCAGATCCTTGCTCATGCCTCACTCACGCTGATTCATTTGAAAAAAGAAAGAGCCAGCAGATTCTTGCTGATGCCTCACTCATTCTGTTCGTTCTGAAACAACATGTCCCTGTAGTTTCACAAACTGTATTTTCGTTCAGTGTCACTCAGAGTCTCGTTCAGGCTCAAAACACTGACTAAGTGGCTCAGTGAAGAGGTATATTTCTTTAGTATGCTCGTCCATTGAAAGAAATGCTCCTTCACAGTATATACTAAGGTTATTTTGAATTCTCTTTTTTCCCACCTTCCTCTCACATCCCATCTACTGATCTATGGTACACTCCTACTTCAGTCCTGATGTTAGAGGAGGAAAAGAGATGAGAAGAGAAACCGTGAACTTGTGAATGAGGATAAAACCAGTCCTGCGGGCAGCTAGACAGGATTACCGTAATGATAAACACACCATCTGATAGCAGATTAATACAGGACCTGGAATCTCTCTGCCTTACTTTCTCTCACTAGTTAAAGGCATAGTCCATTGAAAAATGAAAATTCTGTCATTGTTTACTCACCATTATTTGGAAAATAAAAGAACAAATCAATCCCAATACTTTTTACATACAACAGTAGTTCATAGTAACCAAGCTTCCAAAAACCAAAATTCTCTTTATGTGCTCAGTGGGGGAAAAAAATGGTTGACATGGGTGAGTTTCAGTTGTTTGAATGAACTTTCCATTTAATACTGGATACATAATTCTGAGTCTTCCATCTAATGTTCCTTAAAGCTGATACATCCTTAGAGATTCTGAGAAGCAGTCAGAGGTTGCTGGACTCAATGCCCCCAGAATCAGAATCGAATTAACATCTAGAATCCTCTTTCTGTCTCTCCTTACAACAGATTGTCAGTATGTGACATGCAGAGCTCAAGCCTGCTCTGAATCCAGTAGGACATATCCATTTTCTGGCTATATTGAGACCAACTCACTTGTGGTTCAAGATGAATATGTGTTTGTTCAGGTAAGAACCAGAGATCACTTACTTTAAAGAAACAAGTCAAATGGCATCATTTAATTGTTTTTGGAATTATATAAGGACATCTACAGTTAATTAAAATTGAACAGCGTGGCTGAAATAAAAAGTACAATGATAACAGTGTAACCCTTTGCCATTCGTCTTTGAGATAAGGACTTCCTAGAACAACAGATCTGTTGGGATTTCTCAGTGTGTTCCCACTGCGAAATGCTCTTGTTATTCCATTGCCACTCACTTATAAATTGTGGAATGTGGAACACAGTGTGATATATATAGTTCATATCAGTGGCGAGCGTTGACTTTTTTAACCGGGTATGCTGAGTGATAAGATCCCCCCCCCCAACCCCATCGGCTTTTAGGACACTCAAAAGGGATCACAGATGACAAATAGCTAAGAAACACCATGGCAGGTGTCGATTTAATAGTATGCACATTTCCTACCTTATTTGTAAATGAAATTCTTCTCCAATCCTTCTTCTATCGTTTCAAGTTTATCCATTATTCTAATGCAAGAAAAATATAGCTGGTTTTCCAAGTAAAAACCGCCAAATAACGATTACATGTAGTTACGTTATGATACATAATCAGAGGGTGGGGAGATGGGGGGATTCCCCCGGTCTATATGTCTCTGCATCTGCTAAATATTTTTTTTTTATTCCCAGTGAATAGGAGTTAAAACTCCCACATGGGTGACACTACTCCAGTAACAGACCATGCAAAATACCTAAACATATTTAAAATATTGCAAAGTAACATTGCAACCTTGCAAACAATAATAAAATCAGAGAATGACTTTAACTGTAAGCGACACAAGCATACGCAAAACAAAGGGAACAATATGATGTTTGTTATTATTAATTTTATATAGCCCACGTTTTCATAAATGTTTTTTTTTATTTACCGCTTAGACAATAATGTTGACAATAACGTATATCTTCAACATACATTGTCTATGACCAAAAATGTAAGAAGATATGTTTTCAGTGGACTTAAAATTTGCTTTGCTTGAGAAAACAAAAATATACAGTTACAGTGTTTTTTTTCTTTTGATTTAGTCGAGTTGATTTTGCATCAAACACAATATGATTTTTGGCAATCGAGATCTGACAGCAACAGCACATTTTTCTGCTTGGGTGAGCGCTTTGCGGACAGCTTACCTCGCGCATTAAATCAGCCTCAGGCCAGCAAATCACTGAGAACGCGCTACAATCCTGACAAGTCATAGCAACAGAGCAGAGACGAGAAAGCTGCAGAGAATCTGCTCGCCCAGAAGCAACTGCAACTGGTAGATTTAAAGAAAATTTAATTTGCCGTTTGGCAAGCAAATCATTATACGTACTTATTCCAAACTCTTTAACTTATAACTTATAATCATGTTTATATGAATTATCCCGTGAACTTATTCTCTAAAATGGCCTGGGTATGTGGAGCATTCGCAGCTTATATGGACGGAACGCCACTAGTGCATATATAGACTGTAACAAGTGGGTTTCAAAATTTGCCATATGCATTACTTGATTAAACTATCTAACTATAACAAGGCCCTCTGTCTTCACTCCCATGGCGTTGCTGCTCATTTGCAAGAAGTTGAACTCTGCTCACCTTTGTCACATCGTCAACGTTTGTCAACATTCATATCGCCTCAAATCTCCAAATTTTATTGAAAATGAATGACTTCTGCTTGCTTTGGGCTGCAGATCATTGTCAGTTTGAATATACCTTAAAGAAATAGTTCACCCAAAAATGAACATTCTGTCATCATTTCTTCACCCTCCAAGTTTTCTTCATGTTCAGGCAAAGATTGTGTGCATAAATATGTATGTGTTCATGTGTCATTTTCAACTCCCTAGTGGGTCATAAGGCAAGGCAAGGCAATTTATTTCTAAAGCACGATTAAAAACAACAATAAGTTGACCAATGTGCTGTACAGATTCTAAAAAACATAGATAAGCAGACAATATATACACATCACTTACACTGCACAGAGCATACATTCAACATAAAACAACATTCAACAGTCCAACAACATGTCACTGAGCAGCATTTTGCAAAAAAAGACTGGGAGAATAAATGAGTCTTTAAAAGGGACTTAAATGACACCAACGTGGAGGCTGTTCTTATGTGTAAAGGCAAACTGTTCCAAAGCCTCGGGGCCAATACTGCAAAAACACGGTCCCCCCACAGTTTGCGTCTCGACCTAGGAACAATCAAGAGTTTTTGGTCAGAGGACCTCTGAGATCTTGATGGAGAGTACGGTTGCAACAAATCTGAAATATAAGATGGTGCAAGGCTGTTTAATGATTTAAAAACAAACAGCAAGATTTTAAAATCAATTCTATAACGGACCGGCAACCAATGTAAAGATGACAAAATTCGAGTGATATGGTCCCGTTTCCGAGAACCTGTTATCAACCTTGCAGCGGCATTCTGGACAAACTGTAGTCGTGACAGGGTGGACTGACTAATCTCTACATACAGGGAATTACAGTAGTCCAGACGAGAAGATACAAAAGCATGCATCACTCTTTCAAAATCACAAAAGGATAAAAACGGCTTAATCTTTGCCAGTGTTCTTAGTTGAAAAAAGCCAGATCGAACAAAACCATTGATCTGTTTATCAAATTTCAAGGTATCATCAAAAATTACACCTACATTTTTTACCATGGATTTACCGAAGATAGATAAAGGGCCTAAATCAATATTAATAAACCCAGATGCATTGGAGAGTGCAAAAACAATATTCTTAGTTTTCCTTTTATTTAGGTGGAGAAAATTCACAGCCAACCATGTTTTCAAGTCCTTTAAGCATGCAAGAAGAGCTTCTAAAAAGTTGCCTTCCTTCTTTACTGGTACATAAATCTGCGTATCATCAGCATAGCAATGAAACGATGTACCATGTTTACTAAAAATAGATCCAGTTGGCAGCATATACAATGAAAACAAGATGGGTCCCAAAATGGATCCTTGCGGGATCCCACATGTAAGAGAGGCCGATAATGATGAAATTTCCCCAGAGTAACTGAAAAGCTCCTATTGGTTAGATAGGACTTAAACCAGTTTAATACAGTACCATGAATCCATACCATCCGCTCAAGTCGAGCAATAATAATTTCATGGTCTATGGTATCAAAAGCTGCACTAAGGTCAATTAACACCAAAATTGCAGTATCACCAGAGTCTACTGCTAGCAAAACATCATTGAGAACTTTCAAAAGTGCAGACTCTGTACTGTGATGCTCCCTAAACCCTGACTGGAAAACATCAAATAAAGAATTCTTATTCAAAAAAAGACTGCAGTTGAATAAGGACCTTTGATAAAAAAGGCACTTTTGAAATAGGCCTGTAATTTGTGTAATCCGTTGGATCCAATTTAATATTTTTAATTAAAGGTTGTACTACAGCATGCTTGAAAGATGCAGGAACAGTCCCTGATACAAGGGAGCTATTTATTATTGATAAAATGCTAGGCCCAACTACATCAAAAGTTTGTTTGATCAGTCTTGATGGAACAACATCAAGACGGGAATCCGATGGCTTCAATTTATCAACTATTTTAGCCAAGGTAGAAAGTTGAAGATGTTTGAACCGATAAAACACAGCAGGGCAACAAGAAGGAGCCGAGGGATCCCTAGCTACAGGAAGTATTTGAGATCTAATATTTTCGATCTTTGACACAAAAAAAACTCATAAAATTCTCACAAGCCTCCACTGAAATCTCAGGCCCAATGCTATTTGATGGATTAATAACAGAATTGATAGTATTAAACAATACTCTAGGTCTATGACAGTTATTTTCAATAATAGCAGAAAAGTACTTAGCCTTCGCTGCCTTAACTGCTTTTTGGTAAAAATGCAAGGAGTCCCTCAAAATTTCAAAAGACACTTGGAGCCTGTCCTTCCACCATTTACGCTCTGCTCTTCTGCAAGTTTGTCTGAGAGCTCATGTGGTATCATTAAACCAGGGCTCTACCTTAGTTTTTACACGTTTCACCTTCATCATAAAGGTGCAATAGAATCTAAAATAGTTGAAAAGCCAGAGTTGAAAGAAAACAGTACAGGCTCGGGATCCCAATATAGGGGAGGATTTTCAAAGGTAGAAATATGATTATTCAAAAATGCCCTTGAAAACTCACTAATAACACTAGAGTTCAGCATACGACACAAACATGACAGTGGGTAAGATCTAACAGACTGACATGGGAGAGAAACCCCAAAAATAACTGGATTGTAATCAGAAAAAGTTGCATCACAAATATTTTTCACATAGCCCAAAGAGATACCATAAGATAAAACTAAATCCAATGTATGTCCATATTCATGTGTAGGAGCCTTTACAGACTGTTCAAGATTAAAAGAGTCAATAATTAAAAAAGTCTTTCACCAGGGGGTCAGCAGGACAGCACACATGAATATTAAAATCCCCCACAATTTAAAACTTATCAAATTAAAATAAAATATCCCCTAAGAGTTCAGAAAAATCATGGATGAAGTCTTTATTGAATTTGGGTGGCCGATAAACCAGCACACACAACACTGGCTTCACTAATTCCAATTTAAAGTCTTGCAATTCAAAACTAGTGAAGTCTTCAAACTCTACAGGTTGACAGAGCAAGCTATTTAAAAAAACTGAGGCTAGACCTCCGCCCCGCCCGAAACTCGCGGAGAGTTAATAAATTTACAGTCCAAGGGAGCCAGGTCAGCAAAAGGACTTAGACCACCAGAGGATAGCCATGTCTCAGTCACAAATAAAACATCCAATGGTTTTGAAGTAAAAAGATCCCTCAAAATAGAGGTCTTATTGCAAAGCGATCTCACATTAACCAGTGCCATTTTGATTAGCAAAGAGTCGCCTACCGACTGTGATGAACGACACAGCAGTCGAAGATTTTGGAGACACACCCCCCCACCTTTACGGAGATATGGCATCCGATGTATAGGATGTTCTGCGAAGATTTCCAATGCAATCAGACGAATCCAAGCATATGCCGGCTCCAGAGAACGCTGATAAACTAATCGGTGATAGGCCCGCTCGCCTTTGAAACCGTGGTGATTGAAGTCGGTCCTAGATGCCAACAGCAGTTTAGCCTTAAGTTTGACATCAAGGCCGCCTCGTTTCCCACGTCTTCTTTGGCGCTTTTTCGGCAAAAGAGGCCAGGGAAACCGACACAGGGCCGGCGGCACCTCGGACAGGACTGGAGGAAGAAGTGAGCATGGTCTTCCACGTTCTTACTCAAACTGTATATCCACAGTGTGTTTTATGTTAATCAACATAAGACGATCATAAACCAAGACGGCAATTGCGTCCTGGGCCAGAAGTGAGACAAACAAAATAAAAACAAATAAACCAGGTACCAGACGGCCAGCCATGCACACCGGCGCCATCCTTAGCTTAAATTAGCTTAAGAATAATCTTATACTCAAGGGGAAAACTGAAATGGTAATAGCCTACATTTTCAATTCCAATCCAGATCAGTTTTTGAATATATTAATTTCCATCTGCATGAAAACAATTGTCTTCAAAACAGTACATATCAGGGTGGGAACTAGAGAATGGGCACCTAGAAAATAAAAATAATTGCATCCGAAGTCATGGCCAAAACTTCAGACTGGGAATTATAAATGACAGTATTTCTGAGCCAACGGAAAGGTTCCTCACATTGATGGCAAGTTTCAAAACATTTACTCACGACCCTCTTGGAAGTCTAACAGCAGTGCAGATAACAAGTCCTGCCAATAAGGAGTGGACGTTCAACCCCAATGTTTTGTCATGCCACATCACAGTCCAAAGAATGTGAAACAGAAAAATCGATCATCCCAATTTCTTTCGAAGTTCAACTGCCCTGGAAAGCATCGATCCTGCCTGTTCCTTCCTTCTGTTGCACAAAGAGCGGCTTTTTGGAGACACGTCGGACATGCTGTTTCTTTAGAACTTTCTCCAGACTGCCGCTCTCCTTCTCTGCCTCTCTCTCCTCATTTATTGAATGCACGTTACCGTCTAAGAAGCATAATTGTTTCTGTAATCAGGGAGCCATTTTATTCCCATGTTCAAATCGGAATCCTGTTGGGTGTATATATACCCTCTAATTGAAATTATGAAAAGAGGTGGGATTAATTAAACATGTCTGCTACTATGGCAGGATGAAATACCTTTTGTGCTGCGGAAGAATTATTCTCTACCATTCTCCATTCTCTATTCCCCCTTGTGCAGCTGTAGATATGACAAGCTTCTGACAGTTCCTGCTGTGTATGCTAACAACCAGTGTGTATTTGCTACACGTGCTATCATTAGCACCAACAATCCCACTCTGAGCGTGGTTGGAGCGGGTGCGTTGCTTGCGAGAATTAAAGATTTCTCTTGACAGAGAATAATGAGTGTATTGATTGTCCTACAAGATATTTACCACTCTCCACTCTTGAACTGCAAAGGGCATCGACAAACCAAGACCAAGCAGTATCCTCCAAATCATGGTGGGGAGATTTTAAAAGGGTCGTTCTAGACATAACCTGCGCGATCCGTTACTGAATTAGCCCTCTGAATTTACAGCTTTGTGTAATGTGCTGGAGGAGACAGTAAGTTAATAGCTCTCATTCTCATAGAATGTGCTAGGGCTCAGGGTTGCCAAGTCCACAGTTTTACCACCGTAGCGCCATTTAGACAAAGAGGGACCCCATCTCCCCGTAACACGATTTTGATGGAGCCTACCATTGAAGGAGGAGGAAACCGCAGAAAAAACGCGATTGGGCTAGTTTTGGGCTGGGTTTGTTTCACAGACCTGGCAACCCTGCTAGGGCAGTATATACTGCTGGTAGAAATGGTGATAGTTATTCTGCTATACTGTGATAGAAAACAATAACAAACAAAACCTAACAGGTTAGGTTAATATGAACAACCTTTCTTGCTGGGTTAGGTTAACCCAGGGGTGTCCAATCCTGCTACTAAAGGACCAATATCCTGCAAAGGTTAGCTCCAACCCACATTTCTAGAAGTTTCTAGTGAGTCTCAAGACCTTGATTTGTTGGTCAAGGTGTATTTAATTGGGGTTGGAGCCAAACTCTGAAGGACAGTGGCCCTCCAGGAACAGGTTTGGACACCCCTGGTTTAACTCAACATATTTACCCAGCTCTGAGTTGCCAGTTACTTTTAACAAAGCCAGCATTAGGGTGTATATTTCGAATTGAACCATTAGTGTAATATAAAATTACTCATACTGTTATATAAGATTTTGGTCATACCGCCCACCTCTAAACTTTTGTTAAAAGTACAAAGACAAATCAATAGTTACTGTCACTAGATTTTCCCAGCGTTGATGCCAGTTATTTGATATATGAGATATGTGTTATTTTTCTCCATGCATTCGAATTGAACCATTAGTGTAATATACAATTACTCATACTGTTATATAAGATTTTGGTCATACCGCCCACCTCTAAACTTTTGTTCAAAGTACAAAGACAAATCAATAGTTACTGTCACTAGATTTTCCCAGCGTTGATGCCAGTTATTTGATATATGAGATATGTGTTATTTTTCTCCATGCAGGTGACGACTACTGGCAGAGCGAGCTACTATGTGTCCTATCAAAGAGAACCTTTTGTACGCATTAAAATCCCCAAATACTCCCTGCCCAAGGTAAGAGACTACCTAAAATTTCGAATGAATTAGCTAGAGTAGACAAAGTATTTTCATTAGACAACTAGATTCGGAAGTAAGATAGACAAGAGGAGAACATACATTTTTATGATTCGATTATTTATTAGCTTTTCATCAGCACTCTGTAGTTACTTTGCTAACCCAGTGGTTTTGGCCTTTATAATGACACCTATTGGTGTGGATGAATGATCAGTCAAAAGTAAAGGTTTTTAGTTACTAATGCTGAGCACGTTTCTGCACATTCCTGTTGAAGAACTGAAGTGCAAAATCTTTTCACTTGGCTTGCTTTGGTCAGTTGGGTCATGGCTCATGTTCAACTGAGCCCTGCGCAAACATATAATCCTGTAGATCATGCCCACCGAGAACTAGCAGGGGTCCTCGCTAATGACTTCTGCTTTCTTTTTTCTCACCCTCAGCTGTCTTTTCCCCTCTTTTTCTTTTTCTGTTTTCTAGGACATGCATATTGTGAGCACAGATCAAGGTCAGGTTTTCACCGCCGTCCAGGAGTGGAACCAGAACGATACCTACAACCTGTACATATCTGACACGCGTGGCATATACTTCACCTTGGCCCTGGAGAACGTCAGGACCAGCCGTGGGCTCGGAGGCAACAGCATGATCGACCTTTACGAGGCATGACTTCATCACTAACTTGTTAACAAGCTAACATTAGGCTTCAAGTCAACGGCTTCATGCTAGATGCTCATTACTCCTCGGGCTGCATTAGAATTCATGTCAGACGCTACTTCTCGCCCTGGCACTCAAGCATAGACCACATTATCTTAAGCCTCTGGGGAATTAGCAAGCGTAAATGAACGATAGCAATGAAGACAGAGAGATACATTGAGTTGTAGTTAAATGTTGTCGAAGTGGGAGAGGAGAGAGGTCACTGATTCAATGGGAGCTGCTCGTGTTTTGTGTATGACTCCTTTTTAAAGGGATCCTATCACGAGGAATGAAGTTTCCCTTGATCTTTCGCGATAAGAGATTTCATTGTACCAAGAAGACATATCGTAACTTGTTTCCCTCTGGAAAATTTTGGAGCATAGCTGGTTTCTTAGCCGGCTTAAGCTCTGTTAAGAAATACTGGTAATTCTCAAATTCAAAACATTTCAAATTATCTTAATTGCTCCAAAGCACACCTTTTATTATGTCTATTCAATAATTTGGAGTTGTTTTTTGTTTGGTTTTGTTTTGTCTAAAGATCTAAAGAAGCTTGGAAGTCTTTATTATAGGCACAAGCATCAGTCTTAAGGACTTATTGGAGACTTCTTAGAGAGAAAAAAAATCTTATTGGAACTCTTATAAAAGGTAATAAAAGAAAAGAACACAACAAGTGAGACTAAGTGAAAGGAAGTGCCTTTCTCTCTATCAATTTCTCCTGTTGTCTCTCTTACTCTGTTCATTAAACACCTCTCTGCGGTAGTCTGCATTATACTTCTTTTGGGTCAGTGGCATCGTTCTGCTTTCTTCTTTTAATAAGAGTAGGCTATTAGACTATTTTTGTTTTTTAAATCTTGTACCAAGTATGAAGTACTAAAGTGAAGTAGTTTCAGGAAAATTCGGGTCTATGTATATATTAATATTGGTTTAAATTGAATTGAATTAAGTATTTTTTTTTATTTATTATTATTTTTTATTTTTTTTGCTTTATACCTTTCAGAACAATATTACGTAAACAGGGAAAAAAAATCATAGATTGGTCTAACAAAGTAATGAAAGTATACAGTCTATATAGTCTATATATATGAATATAAATGTTCCCTTTAGACCCTTATGATTTGCATTAATTTCTATGCTAAATAATAAAATCACTACTCACTAGTCTACCACAATCGTCAATCGATATTATTTTGTGAGGATAAATCCTCACTAGAAAACTTGAGTATCGGAAGTATCAATATTTCAAGATCGATCCGCCTGTCTGTGGCCAGAACTCTCACACTGCCTGTAGTTTTTCTGTAAGAATAGATTTGCCAATTGAGTTCAAGGAAACCATTCCTCCTTCATGACAATATTAACATCAGGATATGGTCGCTCTTAGCATATACTATATCATTTTGCTTTAAAATTAGCAGCCTGTACCAAGCAAAAAAAAAACGGAGAAATGAAACATTCGCTTCCCTTGTCCAAGCAGCTAAAAATAGTCTCCATTAGTAAGTGCAAGCAAGGATGGTTTCATTAATGCATTGGTTATGATGCATTTCCCCACTTTTGTGCCAAGGCTGGCTCAATGCACGCTCACCCTGCCAATACTGAATCAGCAGTCCATCCATATCTCTAATAGATTGCAGCAGCCTTCATTAATGCTTATTGAAACCTGGCTTTTTTCACTGAAGCTCCAGTTGGAGCCTAAGTATAGACATGGTTCGTGACTGGACGTTTGTCATATTTATCTCTCTATTGATCAGCGAGAAGTGGGGTTGCTTTACTTTTATATATTTTTATAACAGTAATGATTGATAATGGATATTTTGGTTCTGGCACACACTTCTTTGGTGTTGGCATCAGTGGCCTGCTGCCCTGTATGCAAAGGACACGCACTGCTTACCTTGGCATCACTAGAATTCAAATATACACTACTGTTTAAAAGTTTGAAGTCAGTTTTTTTTTTTACATTAATATTTTATCCAGCAAGGATTCATTAAATTGATCAAAAGTGACAGTAAAGACTTTTACATTACAAAAATTCATATTAAAAATAAAACTAAATAAATAAAAGAAATAATTTCCACAAAAATATTAAGCATGATTTCAAGAAAAAAATATTCAGAATTCTGCGGTAACATGGGCTTAAAGTTAAGGATATTTGGAGAGACAGAAATAGAGCAACAGGTCCAACAGCTACTGCACATGAAACACAATCCTGCCCGCAATTTTGGAGGAAAAGGAAGTTGATGCTTGTCCTGAAGAGACAGTAGCGGGTAGCTTGTTTAACAGCAGATTGTGTGTGTGTGTGTGTGTGTGTGTGTGTGTGTAAAAAAAAATATAATAAAAAAAAACTTTCTGCAAACTTTTGAATGGTTGTGTACAATGGAATCAAAAGGTTTATGAACAATTAAAGATATAGAAATGTCATTGCTTTACATAAAATATCAAACTAAGTGGCATAATGTTTTTTTTTTTTTACATTAAAACATTTTTATTTGCATCTGGTCTAAAAGTTTATTATAAGTGGATATACAACATAATTTCCCAAAGTTGCAATGGTTTCCTATTCGTCTTTCCTCCCATTTGAAAACTCTCTCATTGCTGGTCACCAACATATGATGCACTCCAAATAGCTTCTTAAATCATTTACACAGCAAGATCTTCTTGGTCATTTTACTCTTGTTTTAAACAGAAGTATTTCAGGCTAGAGATCTTCGCTTGTTTGCTAAGTTGCTCTTTTGATTATTTGCATGGCGCTGAACACGTACTCGTGATGAATTCATTGTAAACATGAACGAGCAGCTGATCTGCTCACTGAAGTATGACCCGATTTGCAGAGCATGCTGAATATGAACCGTTCTACCACAACCAGTACATCCATCTTCTTCCGGGAGAACATTGGAACCGAGAGATGGAAGCTAAAGGATAATAAATAATTACCGCTGTGATTGACACGTCTGGCCAGCGGAGGAGGGGACCTCATTAGCCGTGAGCACCAAATCAGCATATTATAATGATTTCTGAAAGATAATGAGACACTAAAGACTGTTTTCAGTATCTATGCTGAAAATTCAGCTTTAAAATCAGAGGAATACATTACATTTTTAAAATGTATTAAAATAGAAAACAGTTATTGAAAATTGTATAATATTTCACAATATTACAGTTTTTACAGTTTTTCTGGTCAAATCAATTTCTGCCATGGTGAGCAGAAATTAAGCTCACAATTATTTACATTTTAAAATATGTTAAATAATATTTATATAAATATATATATATATATATATATATATATATCCATCTTCTTCCGGGAGAACATTGGAACCGAGAGATGGAAGCTAAAGGATAATAAATAATTACCGCTGTGATTGACACGTCTGGCCAGCGGAGGAGGGGACCTCATTAGCCGTGTCCATCCAATGCGGCTCCGTCACTGTGACACTGTCAAATGCAGTCCCTATTAGTGCCACTTACAGACTCGGACCCTGCCTTAGAGCATGCTTCGCTAGCGGGACGCGATTTAAAACAGGTCGCTAGCACCACTGTCACCATTCAATATTGCTAAGTTTGGGCTTGTTTTAAGCCGAGGATGTCAGCTAGAGTAACACCATGTCAGTGAGCTTGGGCTATCATAGAGTGGGCGCTAGTGTCTGCGTAATTAAGAGACTTTATTAGATGACAGTCCGAAGCACTGTAACGGTGAATGTAGATGTTCATGTTCATATTTGTATCGTATTTCTTCCCCCATGTTCCCAGGTATCAGGGATTGAAGGTATGCTCATCGCTAATAGGAAGGTGGAGAACCAGGTGAAGACGTACATTACTTACAACAAGGGCCAAGACTGGAGGCTTTTGCAGGCGCCCGCTACTGACTTGGCAGGAAATCCCATTCATTGTGTGCTGGTAAGAAAGGCATGAGTTGGATTGATTGTTTGTTTGGATTATTTATTTATTTATTTATTTACTTACGAAATGTATGTTAGTGAGTGAACTATTCCTATTCCTGCAACTTGGCCAGTTTGTTATTCATATTAATCATTGATATAAAAAATATTTATATTTAATTTGATTTTATTCTAACACACACCCACACACACACACACACACACACACACACATATATATATATATGTGTGTGTGTGTATATATAGGTTAGGTTATATATATGTTTTGTTTTTGTTTTGTGTTTTTTTTAATTGGTGAGTGAGTGAACTATTCCTTTACCTTGGTCAGTTTGATATTCACGTTAATCATAACTAAAATATATACAATTGTTGTATTTTATTTTATAACAACATTTTTTTAAATTATTATTAGTAATTGAACTGTTCCTTTAACTCGGTCAGTTTATTTATGTTAATAATTACTTTATGTTTTATGTACATTGTTATTTTATTTTGTTTATTTTTGTTTTTATATTTGTTTTGTTTTGTTTTGTTTCTTTCTTTTTATTAGTCAGTGAATTATACTTTGTTTTTGTTTTTAACTTGGTCAGTTTGTTATTCATAATTAATTTTTATTTTAATGTTTTTTATTTGTAATGTATTATTTTCTTTTTATTTTACAACAATTTTTATTAGTGATTTAACTGTTCCTTTAACGTGGTTAATTGTTACTCATGTCAGTCATTACTGAAAAATATACAGTTATTTTATTTTATGCCAAGTTTTATTAGTAAGTGAACTATTCCTTTAAGTTGGTCTGTTTGTTTTTCTTCTTAACATTACTAAATACTTAAAATAATTTTATTGAATTGTTTTATTTATTTATTTCATTTGGTTGTTTGTTTGTTTTTTTGTTTGTTTTATAAATAAAGGAATAGTTCACTCACTTACAAGCATTATGTTATAATAAAATAAAATAAAATAATTGTAAGTATTTGTAGTTTTTGTAAGTTAAAGGAATTGTTCACTCACTAATAAACATTACTCTGGTGATTTGATTTGATTTGATTTGATTTGATTTGATTTGATTTGATTTGATTTGATGTATGGGTCTTTGATTTGATTTGATTTGATTTGATTTGATTTGATTTGATTTGATTTGATTTGATTTGATTTGATTTGATTTGATTTGATTTGATTTGATTTGATTTGATTTGATTTGATTTGATGTATGGGTCAGTTTGTTATTTATGGGAATACAAAAGAAATCTAGACCAAATGTTCTAGGCAATTTTGGCAATATTTATTTTGTTAGCATGTGGCTAGCTTAACTGTCTAATTCTTTCAACGTAATATTCTTTCTCCAACAGATTTGATTAAAGGCAACAGACTCTGTAATGCATAATCAGAAATGATATTAGATCTACTACATTTTTATTATTTGTAAATGGGAAATAGTTTCAGAGTATTGATATGCACAGATCATCATTAATATTTAGCAGCCATATCATGTTTAGAGGCAAAAGAAATATATCAAGGCCAAAGAAACACCCACAGACAGACTGAAGAGGCTGTAATAGTCCTCTGCTTTGACACTCTCATTAGCCTCCTATAATCCTTATGATTACCGACTCGAAATCCTGTTGCCTTTGCCGTCCATGTAATAATGTCAAGCCACCTATTGAGGGGATGAAAAGGACAATTTGTGGTTTATGGAGAGCAGATATAATGCTGGTTTTGTTATGTTGGAGGTCCCAGTAGAGTTGCTTCTCTGCTTTAAGGTCAGATCCCTGTCTTTTGCCGGTAATGACTGTAAAAGGCAATTAGCGTTCATGGTAAGGGTAGCAGTCTCAACAGAGGGCACTCCATACATGATTACATTGCATTATTTGTCCCTTTTTTGGTGGAAACCGCAGTCGATACAGTATGTTATTGTTATTAATTTGAGCTTTTCAAGTTGTTATCTTTCTAGTGTTGGATAAATGAGTACATGATACCCACTATTGCACTCAGTAATAAAACATCACACCTACCCTTTATTACAAAACCAGACACATACTTCTACAAGTCATGGCTGGAGGCTGTCTACATTTGTAAGCATCGAAGCTACATGTTATTTCTGAGTATTTACTAACACAGACCAATCAGCTGGAAGACTGGTGATTTGATTTGATTTGATTTGATTTGATTTGATTTGATTTGATTTGATTTGATTTGATGTATGGGTCAGTTTGTTATTTATGGGAATACAAAAGAAATCTAGACCAAATGTTCTAGGCAATTTTGGCAATATTTATTTTGTTAGCATGTGGCTAGCTTAACTGTCTAATTCTTTCAACGTAATATTCTTTCTCCAACAGATTTGATTAAAGGCAACAGACTCTGTAATGCATAATCAGAAATGATATTAGATCTACTACATTTTTATTATTTGTAAATGGGAAATAGTTTCAGAGTATTGATATGCACAGATCATCATTAATATTTAGCAGCCATATCATGTTTAGAGGCAAAAGAAATATATCAAGGCCAAAGAAACACCCACAGACAGACTGAAGAGGCTGTAATAGTCCTCTGCTTTGACACTCTCATTAGCCTCCTATAATCCTTATGATTACCGACTCGAAATCCTGTTGCCTTTGCCGTCCATGTAATAATGTCAAGCCACCTATTGAGGGGATGAAAAGGACAATTTGTGGTTTATGGAGAGCAGATATAATGCTGGTTTTGTTATGTTGGAGGTCCCAGTAGAGTTGCTTCTCTGCTTTAAGGTCAGATCCCTGTCTTTTGCCGGTAATGACTGTAAAAGGCAATTAGCGTTCATGGTAAGGGTAGCAGTCTCAACAGAGGGCACTCCATACATGATTACATTGCATTATTTGTCCCTTTTTTGGTGGAAACCGCAGTCGATACAGTATGTTATTGTTATTAATTTGAGCTTTTCAAGTTGTTATCTTTCTAGTGTTGGATAAATGAGTACATGATACCCACTATTGCACTCAGTAATAAAACATCACACCTACCCTTTATTACAAAACCAGACACATACTTCTACAAGTCATGGCTGGAGGCTGTCTACATTTGTAAGCATCGAAGCTACATGTTATTTCTGAGTATTTACTAACACAGACCAATCAGCTGGAAGATTGAGGCTACAATTCAGCAACAGTAAAATTAAATAAAATCCTACTTCATTTGGAAATGGTGTAAATTTGACTCTGTGTTAATAGTATTATAAATTTCTCATATACACTACCATTCAAAAGTTTGATTCAGGATTTGTTAAATGTTTTAAAAGTCTCTTAAGGTCACCAAGGATAATATAATATAATATAATATAATATAATATAATATAATATAATATAATATAATATAATATAATATAATATAATATAATATAATATAATATAATATAATATAATATAATATAATATAATATAATATAATATAATATAATATAATATAATATAATATAATATAATATAATATAATATAATATAATATAATATAATATAATATAATATAATATAATATAATATAATATAATATAATATAATATAATATAATATAATATAATATAATATAATCAGAAAGGCACGGAAAACAAATAACGATTGCTAACGGTTGCCTGTTAAATTACAGTAGCTACATAAAATGTCACTTTCTGTTTATTTCACCACATAAACAGAGTAAGGAGAGACTGAGGACAATGGCGAATGATTTGCAAAATGTGTGGTAAGTACTGCCGCTAACAGAGTACCTGCGATCGCGAATCTCGAAAGTGAAAGTGAAACTAAAAAGCAACCGTGCATTCAAAAGCAGTTTCAATGCCAGGCATAATAGTGGCTCCCTGATGCCCGCAATTTATATACAGTATAATTGCCCAATGATATACAGGTAACTGCGAGAGAAAATATTGAAATATATTTTCCTCCCATCTCGTATTTATTCCCTTTAGGGGTTCCGTGTGAACACGGTATTGGGATGCGGCGGATTGCTGGCTCAACATCGTGAAGTGTATCAGCCATCGGCGATGGATGATGGCATCGTCTATCGGCCCAACCCTACTGTACATCATAAAGTTGTGCTGTTTAAATTAATTTAAAATGAAATGTCCCTTCAAATAATAAATAACGATTTATTTCAAATCTATTTAGATAAATTAGTATAGAAATTTTAATATGTTCTATTTATCAGTTATCATTTATCAGACTTGACATACAATTATTGGCTTATCATTGGCAAGAATTTCTAGATTCCTGTCTGTATATTTGGGCATTTTATGTATTACTATGATCAGTCTCAGTTTCATTTCATGGTGGACATTCATCCAGAAAATCACATTGTTTACATTCTCTGTCTACAAGTGGTTGTATGAGCTTATCTTTGCATGGTCAAAGTAGTTTGTAAGGACTGAAATAGATTTTAAGATCATTTTTCTTTTGAACGCGAGGGAATTTCGCAGCCCTTGTTAGTAAATTTTGTGAACCTGTTTAGACAATATTTGCTAATTTTTCATTTTCCCAGAACATTTTTAACTCTTAATTATAAAACATTCCAGTGTTGTGGTTGCCATACACAGTACCCTCTTTGAACGTATACTGACACATTGAAACATTTTACATGGCTTTCTGTGTGTTCATATGCATACTGCATTTGGATATAGAGGTTATTTATCCCTCATGATCTGCCTCATGCATACATTGACAAAGAACCTTATTCAAATCAATGGCAAATTGAGTACTGACAGAACAATTATATTGTCTTAGGAAGCAGAGAGGAAAGAAACGGCAAGGCAGCATGCTATGAATATCAACCAGGTCAACATGGCTCATATGCAAAATCAGATATATTTCTTTTCAATCTATCAGTTTCCTAGTGCTTTTTGTGTTCTTTCTCATTCCTTGACTGATGGTCTTTTTGCTGTTTTCCTCCTTTGTTTCTGTGAGGAGATTCTTCTGTTTTATATAGGTGTACTAATCTCAGGGTTTCGCTTTAATCGATAACTTTCAAAGCTGG